AAAAAAAATTCTTTCCACATTTCGCTTTTTAAAGTACTGCATTTTATCAATTCTAAGACACCATTGATTCCAAGATGCACACTGATTTCAGTACCAACAACAACAAAAGTCACATACACACATATATTCACAATTCAGACACAATTTTTCAAGATGTTTATATGGGGAAAAATGTGTCTTAGAATTGCTGAAAATCAGTACTTACAAATCTGTAAGAGGCACTTCTTTCTCAATGATAGCTAAGCTTGCTCCTGAGTTTTTGGGGAAGAACTGTCTTATAACAACGTCTTGTGCAAATTCAAGTAAACAATGTTTACTCGGCAATCCCAACCAAATGTTTATTGGCACTCCCCTGGCAGCAACAAAATTGGCCTGCAAATGTATAATCAAACCAAACTATAGACATCTCGCCGGCAAGAGCAAAACAGCACACAGCTCCAGGCCTCCTCGGCGTACACAGTGTTGCTGACGAAACTGGGGCACGCAACTCAAAAATCACAACGCAACCGTCTAATCTTGGGACCCTGGTGGTGCAGGAGCGGGGCCTAAACTCCCCAAGTTTGTCCACAATTCAAAGAGAGTGCGTAGCTCACAAATCACTGTCATCAAGACATGCAAAACATCATCACTCTACATTTCCCTTTGTCTCTCCCTCCCCCACTCCTCTGATAAAAGAGACAAAGTGTTTCTGGGACTGACCGAAAAGATAAGTGTCCCCATTAATAGTATGGAGGTCTTGTGATGGGTGTAACTCCAGCTTTCGAGATTGAAAAAATGTGAAAACAACTCTGTTTCCTTTCACTTGAGCTGACTCTGGTTGGGGAAAAGAAAATTACATCTGTGCTAATAATAATAATAATAATAATAATAATAATAATAATAATAATAATAATCAACTTTATTTCTACCCCGCCACCATCTCCCCGATACTGTGATACTATGATACTGTGAACCACTGCCTCTTCCTGAGAAAAATGTATAATATCACAAAGGACTACCACCTCACCCGCCTCATAGGAAACCTGCTACAAAACAGGAGCTTTTTTGTTGAGTTCCAGGGCCAGAGAAGCAGATGGCGGAAACAGAAAAACGGCCTGCCTCAGGGGAGCGTGCTTGCTCCATCCATGTCCAACATCTACACAAATGACCAGCCACTGCCAGAAGGGACAGAGAGATTCATCTATGCTGATGATCGTGCCATCACCACTCAAGCAGGGAGCTTTGAGATGGTTGAACAGAAGCTCTCCAAAGCTCTAGGTGCTCTCACTGCCTATTACAGGGAAAAACAGCTGATCCCTAATCCATCTAAAACACAGACATGTGCTTTTCACCAAGAACAGACAAGCATCGAGCTCTGAGGATCACTTGGGAAGGAATCCTATGGAGCACTGCAGCGCACCCAAATACCTGGGAGTCACTCTGGACCGTGCTCTGACCTACAAGAAGCACTGCCTGAACATCAAGCAAAAAGTGGGTGCTAGAAATAATATCATACGAAAGCTGACTGGCACAACCTGGGGATCACAACCAGATACAGTGAAGACATCTGCCCTTGCGCTGTGCTACTCTGCTGCTGAGTATGCATGCCCAGTGTGGAACACATCTCACCACGCTAAAACAGTGGATGTGGCTCTTAATGAGACATGCCACATTATCACGGGGTGCCTGCGCCCTACACCACTGGAGAATTACACTGCTTAGCCGGTATTGCACCACCTGACATCCGCCGGGAAGGAGCAGCCAATAGTGAAAGGACCAAGGCAGAGACATCTCCAGCTCATCCCTTGTTTGGGCATCAGCCAGCACGCCAACAACTTAAATCAAGAAATAGTTTTCTAAGGTCTACAAAGACACTCGCTGGAACACCTCAGCAAGCGAGAGTCCAAAAGTGGCAGGCTCAAACCCAGAGCCTCAATCTATGGCTGATACCCAATGAGAGACTCCCTCCTGGGCACACAGAAGACTGGGCGACTTGGAAGGCGCTGAACAGACTGTGCTCTGGCACCACGAGATGCAGAGCCAACCTTAGGAAATGGGGCTACAAAGTGGAATCCACAACATGCGAGTGTGGAGAAGAGCAAACTACAGACCACCTGCTGCAATGCAACCTGAGCCCTGCCACATGCACAATGGAGGACCTTCTTGCGGCAACACCAGAGGCACTCCAAGTGGCCAGATACTGGTCAAAGGACATTTAATCAACTACCAAGCTTGCAAACTCTGTGTCTTTTGTATGTTTGTTTGTTCTGTCAAAAATGTAATACAACTGTTCGGTTGCCTGACACGATAAATAAATAAATAAATAAAATCTCCCCGATGGGGACTTACATGGGGCCAAACCTGGACAAGATAATACAGCAATAAAATCAAAGCATATACAACAGACAACATTATCAAAATGACATTAAAATAATAATAATAATAATAATAATAAATACACATATTAATACACATAAATAAATAATACACATATTTCCTTTATAAGCAGATAGCGTCAAGTGAGGGGGGAAGACCATGAATTGGCAGTGGAGCCCACCTATGCCCTCTCGAAAAGAAAAAAGACACATGGGGGGCAGAGAAAGGAAGGGGAGAGAAGACAGCGAGCCAAGGACAGACATGCATTCAGGAGGAGCTCCTACACTGCAGAATAGATGCAGTTTGGCACCACTTGAAGTGCCATGGCTCCATGCTATGGGATCCTAAGAGGTGTCGTTCGGTGAGACACCAGTATGGTAGAGAAGGCAAAATACTCTCATAAATCTACAACTCCCATGATTCCATAACACGCAGCAATGGCCTTTCAAGTGGTGCCAAACTGGCTCAAGGATACAGAACCCTGGGAGTTGTAGTTCAACCAGGTCTTCAGCCTTCTCTGACAAAGTGTGCTGATTCCTCATCAAACTACACCTCTCTTGATCCCGTAGCATGGAACCATGGCAGTTGAATGTGTGTGAAAGTGCATTCATTCTGCAGGAAGGGAGGGAGGGAAGGAAGGGAGGAAAGAGGGAAGGAAGGAGAAAGAAGAAGAGAGGGAAGGAAGGGAAGGGAGGAGGGAAGGAAAGAAGAGGAAGGAAGAATGAGGACAAAGAAGAAAGGAAGGAGGAAGGAGAAGGAAGGAAAGGAGGAAAAGGAAGGGAGGGAGGGAGAGAAAGGAGGAGTGAGGAAGGAAGGAAGGTGAAGGAGAGAGGGAGAAGGAGAGGAAGGAAGAGAAAGGAAGGGAGGAAGGAAAGGAGGAGGAAAGAAAAAGAAAGGAAGGAAGGAAGGAGAGGAGGAAGGAAGGAAAGAGAAAGGAAAGAAAGGAGAAGGGAGGAAGGAGGAAGGGAGGGAAGGAGAGAGAGAAAGCAAAGAAGGGAGGAAGGTGAAGGAGGGAGGGAGGGAGGGAGGGAGAGAGGAAGCAGAAGAAGGAAGGAAGGACGGGTGAGGAAGGAAAGTGAAGGAGAGAGGGAGGGAGAGAGGAAGGAGGGAAGGAAAGAAGGCGGTGAGGAAGGAAGGAAAGAAAAAAGGAGGGAAGGAAGGAAGGAAGGAGCAAAAGGAAGGAAGGAGGTAAGGAAAGAAGGAAAGCAGAGAGGGAGAGAGGAAGAAAGGAAGGAGGACGGGTGAGGAAGGAAGGAAAGAGAAAAGGGGGAAGGAAAGGAAGGAAGGAAGGAGCAAAAGGAAGGAAGGAGGTAAGGAAAGAAGGAAAGAAGAGAGGAGGGAGGGAGAGAGGAAGAAAGGAAGGAAGGATGGATGAGGAAGGAAGAAAAAAGGAGGGAAGGAAAGGAAGGAAGGGTGAGGAAGGAAGGGTGAGGAAGGAAGGTGAAGGAGAGAGGGAGGGAGAGGGGAAGGAAGAAAGGAAGGAGAGAAGGAAAGAAGGCGGTGAGGAAGGAAGGAAAGAAAAGAGGGAAGGAAGGAAGGAAGGAGGTAAGGAAAGAAGGAAAGAAGAGAGGGAGAGAGGAAGAAAGGAAGGAAGGACGGGTGAGGAAGGAAGGAAAGAGAAAAGGGGGAAGGAAAGGAAGGAAGGAAGGAGCAAAAGGAAGGAAGGAGGTAAGGAAAGAAGGAAAGAAGAGAGGAGGGAGGGAGAGAGGAAGAAAGGAAGGAAGGATGGATGAGGAAGGAAGGGAAAAAAGGAGGGAAGGAAAGAAAGGAAGGAAGGGTGAGGTGAAGGAGAGAGGGAGGGAGAGGGGAAGGAAGAAAGGAAGGAGAGAAGGAAAGAAGGCGGTGAGGAAGGAAGGAAAGAAAAAAGGAGGGAAGGAAGGAAGGAGGAAAAGGAAGGAAGGAGGTAAGGAAAGAAGGAAAGAAGAGAGGAGGGAGGGAGAGAGGAAGAAAGGAAGGAAGGACGGGTGAGGAAGAAGGAAAGAGAAAAGGGGAAGGAAAAGGAAAGGAGAAGGAGGGAGGAGAGAGGAAGAAAGAGGAAGGAGGAGAAGGAAGTGAAGGAGAGAGAGAGAGGAGAGAAGAAGAAGAAGGAAGGAGGAGGTGAGGAAAAAGGAAGAAAAAAAGGAAGGAAAGGAGAGAAGGAAGAAAGGAAGGAAGGAAAGAAGAGGAGGGAGGGAGAGAGGAAGCAAGAAGGAAGAAAGGAAGGAAGGAAGGAGGGAGGAAAAAGGAAAGGAAAAAAGGAAGGAAAGGAGAAGGAAGGAAGAAGGAGGAAAAGAAGGAGGGAAAGAAGGAGAGAAGGGAAGGGGGAAGGAAGGGGGAAAGGAAAGAGATCGAGGGAGAGAGAGAAGAGGGCGAGCCAAGGACCGGGGAGGAAAAGGAGCATTTGGGGCGGAGTGGGGAAGGGAACTCGAACAAATCCGTGGCTGGGAAAAGCCAAAGCTTTCATGGGAAGAGCAGGGCGCCTGGCGAGGGCTTGCTCAAGAACCTGGGCGAGGGAGGCGAGGCAGAGTGGCTGGAAGGAAGCCGAGGGAAGAGGGCCAAAGTCTGGGGGTGGCGAGCGGGGCGAGGGCGCTGGGAGCAGAGCCCCCCCCCCCCCCCCCCCCCCCCCCAGAGCAGCGGAGCAGGGAGCCCGCCCAAAGGAAGCTTACCCATAGCTCCGTGCCCCAGTCCATGCTGGCAGCAGCCGCGTCCTCCCGAAGCCCCAGCCGCTTCCACCGCCCTCCCGAGAAGGAGTCCCACTCACTCCCGGGGCCCCACCAGCTCCGCCGCCTGCCCCGGACACGCCCCGAGCGGCGGCCTTAAAGGCGCAGGCAGGCCCCAGCCGGGGCTGCCTTGCCTGGCCAAGGGGAGGCCCTCCCTCTCTCCCTCCCTCCCTTTCCCTTTCCCAAGAGGAGAGCCATGCCAATGGAGGGGGCTCCGTCTTTGGGGAGGCAACTTCCAAACTCTCCTTCTCTCTTCCTTTCAAAGCTCAGCACCACCACTTGGGCTCATTGGGAACCAGCAGTCTCTTTGGGGGAGCCTGGACCCTTGGGCTTCAAAGCCTGTTGAAAGGTGGTGGTGGGGGGAGCTATTCATGACCAGAATCACTGGGTTGTTGTCAGTTTTCCGGGCTCTCTTGCCCCCTTCCAGAAGCATTCTCTCCTGACGTTTCTCCCAAATCTATGGCAGGCATCCTCAGAGGTTGTGAGGTCTGCTGGACACTAGGCAAGGGAGGTTTCTATATCTGGGAAGAGCTGGCCCTTGAGCATTCCAACTGGAGGTCAGCTGTGACCGACAGTGCTGTGGAATTCAAAGAGACGCAAATAGAGGGCGAAAAAGAGAAATGTGCCAAGAGGAAGAAGGCATGTCAAGAGGCGGCCCTAGGTAATTTTCAACAGTAAGCAAACAGATGGATGGCATCCTTGAAGTGACTGGACTGACCTTGAAGGAGCTGGGGGTGGTGACGGCTGACAGGGAGCTCTGGCATGGGCTGGTCCATGAGGTCACGAAGAGTCGGAGACGACTGAACGAATGAACAACAACAACAAGCAAACAGTATTTTGCCACCCCCCCCCCAACCAATCTTCTATATAAATAAAAATGTAATTTTAGTTCGTGCTACCATCAGAACTCAAAAACCACTGGGGGAATTGACACCAAATTTGGACACAAGACACCTAACAGTCCAATTTATGTCCTCCACTCAAAAAAAATGATTTTGTCATTTGGGAATTGTCGTTGCTGGGATTTATAGTTTACCTACAATCAAAGAGCATTCTGAACTCCACCAATGATGGAATTGGGCCAAACTTAGCACACGACTCCCATGACCAACAGAAAAAACTGGAAAGGTTTGGTGGACATTGACCTTGAGTTTGGGAATTATAGTTCACCCACATCCAGAGAGCACTGTGGACTCAAACAATGATGGATCTGGACCAAACTTGGCACAAATATTCCATATGCCCAAATATGAACACAGATGGAGTTTGGAGAAATAGACCTTCACTTTTGGGAGTTGTAGTTACTGTGATTTATAGTTCACCTACAATCAGAGAGCATGCTGAACCCCACCAATGAGAGAATTGGAGCAAACCTCCCACACAGAACCCCCATACTTAAGGCCATCCAGTCCAATTCCCATCACCAGGGCAAGAAAAGCTCTCCTGACAAAGAGCCATCCAGCCACAGATATTGATAGATATATATGATTCACATACACTCAAATATAGTATTATAATTTGGAAGTGACCTCTAAAGAAGGGCAATTATATGTTGCATGTTCCAGAGCAGGCAAACCAGACAATCTCCACATCAACATTGACAAAGAAACAACAAGAAATACTGTTTACCCACAAGCATCAAGAAATTCCATATATTAGAAACCAACACTTTCACATTACTTTATTTTCCAGACTGGGCCACAGCAACACGTGGCAGGGGACGGCTAGTCAACAATAAATTAAACACATGTAGACTAAAATACATAAAAGTCAGTTCATCAAGATAAAATCATGTCCAACTCAGTCCACATATGTGGTCGATAACTTTAGTCAATTGCCAGTCTCCGCCATCATTCTGGGAATGCCTCGTTCCATAGACAGGATTTCATTAGCTTCCTGAAGGTCAGGAGGGAGGGGGCAGAACTGATCTCAATCGGGAGAGAGTTCCATAGCCCGGGGGCCACCCCAAAAACGGCCCTGTCTCTCGTTCTCACCAGACGCGACTGCGAGGGTGGTGGGACTGAGAGCAGGGCCCCTTCAGAAGATCTTAACAGCCTTGATGATTCATAGGGGAGAATATGTTCAGATAGGTAAACTGGGCTGGGGGCATACAGGGTTTTGTAGATTAAAACCAGCACTTTGAATTGTGCTCGGAAGCTAATTGGCAGACAGTGGAGCTGGTGCAACAGAGGAGTTGTGCTCTCCCTGTGCCCCATTCCTGTTAGAATCATAGAATCATAGAATCAAAGAGTTGGAAGAGACCTCATGGGCCACCCAGTCCAACCCCCTGCCAAGAAGCAGGAATATTGCATTCAAAGCACCCCTGACAGATGGCCATCCAGCCTCTGTTTAAAAGCTTCCAAAGAAGGAGCCTCCACCACACTCCGGGGCAGAGAGTTCCACTGCTGAACGGCTCTCACAGTCAGGAAGTTCTTCCTCATGTTCAGATGGAATCTCCTTTCTTGTAGTTTGAAGCCATTGTTTCGCGTCCTAGTCTCCAGGGAAGCAGTAAACAAGCTTGCTCCCTCCTCCCTGTGGCTTCCTCTCACATATTTATACATGGCTATCATATCTCCTCTCATCCTTCTCTTCTTCAGGCTAAACATGCCCAGCTCTTTAAGCCGCTCTTCATAGGGCTTGTTCTCCAGACCCTTGATCATTTTAGTCGCCCTCCTCTGGACACATTCCAGCTTGTCAATATCTCTCTTGAATTGTGGTGCCCAGAATTGGACACAATATTCCAGGTGTGGTCTAACCAAAGCAGAATAGAGGGGTAGCATGACTTCCCTAGATCTAGACACTAGGCTCCTATTGATGCAGGCCAAAATCCCATTGGCTTTTTTTTGCCGCCACATCGTATTGTTGGCTCATGTTTAACTTGTTGTCCACGAGGACTCCAAGATCTTTTTCACACGTACTGCTCTCGAGCCAGGCATCGTCCCCCATTTTGTATCTTTGCATTTCGTTTTTCCTGCCAAAGTGGAGTATCTTGCATTTGTCACTGTTGAACTTCATTTTGTTAGTTTTGGCCCATCTCTCTAATCTGTCAAGATCGTTTTGAATCCTGCTCCTGTCCTCTGGAGTATTGGCTATCCCTCCCAATTTGGTGTCGTCTGCAAACTTGATGATCATGTAGTTAGTAGTCTGGCTGCCGAGCGTTGGACTAGTTGCAGCTTCCGGGCAGTCTCCATAGGCAACCCAATGTAGAGAGCGTTGCAGTAGTCTATACGGGATGTAACCAGACCGTTGACCACCATGGCCAAGTCACACTTCCCAAGGCAGTGTGGACTCAGATAACCCAGTTCAAAGCAGATATTGTGGGATTTTCCACCTTAGTATTCTGGGATATAGGACTGTGTGGAAGGGCCCTTGATGGCAAACAAACTGCAGCCAAATGTGAGTATAGTATTGCAGCCTTCATTTAACTCCAGGTTCTAGAAGCAGATTTGGGCAACCAGGCAGCAGACAGCTGATGTCATCCTTCTGTGATGTCCCAAGACAAAACTTCAACTCAACAGTGAACTCAAACCCCTCTGTCAGCAAAAATCACACTAACTCTCGAGGGCAGTGAATGTAACACCAGCTTTCCAGACTCGTGACCTCAGGAAATTTCACTTCCTTTTAAAATTGAGCTTCGGAATCGGTCAGCATCAGAAGGAAATCCTACTTTGTCGTGAAAAGTTTGTCTGCAAATATACTATAGATTGCATGGCTGTGTGTGTGTGTGTGTGGTGTTGCGGGTGGGTGCTCAGACTCCTATAGTGTTGTCATGGTAAACAGGGAGGGCGGGAGCAACTAGGGAAGTGCCCGTGACTCAGAGAGAAAACTATGCTGAGTAGTAAAGATTTCTCTGTCTTCCTCCCCAGAGCTGATGTTCAGGATCACTTACCCTTTAACACTCATTAACCACCCTGTTTGCCATCACAGCCGACTCAATCAACTGTGGCAGCCCCTTCCATCCTTTTGCTGCAAACCCATGGGCCACTGAGGTTTCTTCTCCAGATTAATGATTAAAACAAGATGTTGGTAATGAGTTTCAATCTAATCGAAGAGACTAAGCCAAGACCACAGAGGGTGGCAAGGAAAGGGCAAGCCTTTGCTTTACTGAAGCAGCCACAGGTCTCTCGCAGCTGCTATTGCCACAAAGCAGGGCTTCTGGCTGGTTTGCATTCTGGATTTTTAAATGTGTGTGCGCGCCTATATCTTGTATATAATTAATTTAAAGCATTTATACTCTGCTCTTTAGCTAACAAGGCTTGCAGGGGTAAATTACAAAATAGGTATTTATTTATTTACTACTGTACCCGCCACGCGTTGCTGTGACCAACCTCCCCTCTTTCTCTCCTTCTTTTCCTCCTTCCTTCATTCCCTCTTTCCTTCCTTCCTGTCTTTCCTTCTCTTCTTCCTTCCTTCTCTATCTCTTTCCTACCTTCCCCCTTTTTCTTTCTCTTCTGCTGTCTCTCTTTTCTTCCTTCTATCTTTCCTTCCCTCTCTCTTTCTCTACATCAGGGGTCCTCAAACCTTTTAAACAGAGGGCCAGGTCATAGTCCCTCAAACTGTTGAAGGGCTGGATTATAATCTGAAAAAAAACATGAATGAATTCCTATGCACACTGCACATATCTTATTTGTAGTGCAAAAAAATAAAAACAATACAATAATTAAAATGAAGAACAATTTTAACAAATATAAATTTATTAGTATTTTAATGGGAAGTGTGGGCCTGCTTTTGGCTGATGAGATAGGATTGTTGTTGTTGTTGTGTGCTCTTGAGTCATTATAGACTTAGGTTGACCCTGAGCGAGGGCCGGGTAAATGACCTTGGAGGGCCGCATCCGGCCCCCGGGCCTTAGTTTGAGGACCCCTGCTCGACATCTTCCCCCCTTCCTTCGCTCCCTCTTTCCTTCCTTCTTTCCCTTTTTTCTTTCCTTTTCTCCTTCCGTCCTTCCCTCTTTTTCTTTCCCTCCTTCTTTCTCTCCTTTCTTCCTTATCTACGTCCTTCCTTCCTTCCCTTCCTACCTTCTCCCTTTCCTTCTTTCTTTCCCTCCCTCCTTCTTTCTTTTCTTTTCTTTCTTTCTTTCTTTCTTTCTTT